GTTTGAACTGGTCAGCACCATCAAGATGAAGATCGGCACAATCCTATACTACTGTTATGTCGACCCAGGCTAACCGTAGCAAGCCCCCAGGATTTTGCATGCTAGACATGGTGGTCGATCTCACCAAGGGATGTGGTCAATGTATCCTAGCATGGCCTCTCAACGGTAAGTAGCTCTCCATTTTCTCCATAAAAATGGTTAAAGACCCAAAGTTTGGGAGGCCTTGGTATAAGAACTCTCAACTTCATACCTCACACACACATTCTTACCATTTTCCTAGTTTTACACACTTGTCTATTCGGTTATTTATCGCAATACTGACTTAGGTATCGGAGGGTCCCTCTAACCTCATATTGGTTTTGTAGCTCATGGACTGGATGATATTCCAAAACTAGGGACACACCTCAATAAATTTCAGTGATTGTGCGGATTTTTTGTTCGTATAATAATCAGGCGACTAAAAATTTTTGACAAACGGGAGAAATTATGTAATCATGGAAAGCCAGTCCTCAAACAACGTCCCTTCTGCCTTTGGGTGTAAGTCTTAACACTGCGTCCAAACCAGACCCAGCATAACACGAAGCTAGGACATTGGGATCAGATATGATGATACTAGGGTGGTAAATCTGGAAGCCTATAACTAGCTTGAATCTTTATGGACTTAGCAAACTCAACCTCCCTATACGATTGACCACGTTTTATTTACAAGATCGCAAAATGAACTTGTTAAAAACCTTCATAAATAAATCATATTTCATTTGACAATAAAAGCTATAATACTTACTTTTAATTTTAATGCCGGCAAATGCAATGTCTATTTCCTCTGATTTGGGTGTGAAGCCATTGAAAGTTTTTATTAACGTATAGCATAAAACAGACAAGTAACAAACTACCTTTTACTACCTTGATATCAATTGAAATTCATGAGATATCATTATAAGTTTCACCAATATAACATCAAAGTTTTCATATGAGATTTTCAATTTATCATTCCTTTGCTTTAGTAGAAAGAGAAGGAGAACGAGCTAGAGAAAGAGGAGAAGTAGATGGACAAGGAAAAGAAGAAGAAGGAAGAAAAAAGAGAAGGAGCGGATAAGGAGAAAAAATGAGAAGGAGAAAGAAGAAGAAAGAGGAGGGGAAAGAGGAGGAGAAAAGTCAAGAAGAAAAAAAAACAGAAGTAAAAGAAAGAGGAGTAGGAGAGAAGAAGATTGGGAAAAGGAGCAGGAAAAGTGACCCGAAGAAGGAGAGAGGAGAAAGAGAAGGATTAGGAGAATGAATAAGGAGCAAGAGGAGAGGGAGGAGAGAAGAGAAGTCACTCGAAAGTTTAAAATTTATGGTGACTCTAAGGAACATCAGGGACTTGCGAGGATCGAAAACTAAAAAAGAATCACATAGAAAAAGAGCATTGATTCCATATATACCAACATAGAGAGAGATTTAGAGAGAAGGAGAAAGGTAAAATGGTGCAATGGGAGTTCACAATAGGAACTGCATATTTTTTGGGTCTGAGATGAATGTACAGGCTTGCTCTGACAATTCAACGAAAACTCATAAGCCCTAAGTGCCCCAAGACCCGTCAATTTGCTCGGAGGTGATGGTTCTTGACTAGAAGATAACGTGATATCCCTTACCAGCTGCTAAGCTTCATGAAAGGCCACACCCTTGAAGCAAAGATTTCTCGGGAGAAGAAAAAAATGTAACACCCCGGTTACCAGATACATTAAATGATTAAATTGACCACAATATATATCACCAAATATAGAGCCAGAGCTCTAATTACCTCAATAAAAATTATAATTGAGAAATAAAATGCATGGACAAAGAATAAATATTTATCCATAATGATGCAAGCTTCATAGCCTCACCATGTGAGGTTGGGTGGAAGTTTGGCTATAAACAGCCATGGTGCTGTCAGGGAAATTGCAGACAAGAAAGGAGGAAAAAAGGAGAGAGGAAGAATAAAAAAATATATAGAAAGAAAAATTTATGAGATTTTAGAGTAAAAAATTGGGTGATGATTTTACTTCAGATCGCTACCAAATTTAAATATATTGTTCATGATTCTTCGAATTTCACATCTATTGAAGTCATTGATGATTTTGAGGTACGTGATAGTATATAATATGCTCATGTCTTTAAATTTATTTGTAAAGAGTGTCCTTTTGATGATCGTAAATTTGTAGTATTTCCTATTGATATGAAATTCTACAATAGGAAAATTGGCACAAAAGGGAGGAAAAGCGACAGGAAGGAGAGAGGAGGAGGAACAAGAAGAGAAGGAAATGATACAAAAGGAAGTAGAGGGCGAATGAGAAAGAGGAGAAGGAGAAGCAAATGAAGGAGAAGAGAAGAGAAGTCACTTGAAAGATCAAAATTTATGATGACTCCAAAGAACATCGATGACTTGAGAGGAATGGAAAGTAAAATAGAATCATATAAAAAAACAGCGTATTAGGAACTACGTATTTCTTGGGTCTGTGATGAATGGAGACTCATAATCCCTAAATACCCTTAAGACCCGTCAATTTGCTCAGAGGTGATGTCGTTACCGGAAGATAACGTAATATCTATTTTCAGTTGCTGAGCTTTATAAAAGGCTACAAATTGGAACTCCCTTTGAAGCTAAGATTCCCTAGGAGAAGGAGGAGAATAAGGAGTACAATGAGAAAGAGAAGGATAAAAAGGAGGAGGATAAGAGTGAAAAAGAAGAAGAGAAATAAGCAGGAGGAAGGAAAAGGAGAAGGAGAATGAGAAGAAACAGAAGGAAGGAGAAGCAAGAGGAAAAACAAGGGAAGAAGGAAGAGGAAGAGATGCTAAAGATGAAGGAGAAGGAGAAATAGAAGAGAAAGAAGAAGAAGAAGAATGATGGAGGAGAAAGAGCTGGAGAACAGAAAGAAAAGGAGAAGGAGAATGAGGAAAATCGGCAAGAAAAAGAGTGGAGGAAATATAACGAGAGAGAAGAAAGATAAGGCTGAGGTGGAGGAGAATGATGATGAAGAAGAAAAAGGAGCAAAAAGAGAAGGAGAAGAAACAGAAGGAAGGAAAGGGAGAATGAGGAGACACAAGAGAAAAAGCAGGTGAAGGAGAGAAGAGAAGTTACTCGAAAGATGAAAATTTATAGCAACTCTAAGGAGCATCGGTGACTTGCGAGAAACGAAAAGTAAAACAAAAATCACATAGAAAAATAGCAATGATTCCATAAAACCATAAATTTGTAATATGTATAGAGACATATATACACATATATACTTATAGAGAAAGGGAGAAAGGGAAAATGGTGCAACGGCAGATCACATTAGGAGCTGCACATTTCTTGGGTTTGTGACAAACTTACAAGCTTGCTCTGACGATTCAACAAATACTCACAAGCTTTAAGTGCTCTAAGACCCATCAATTTGTTTGGAGGTGATACCCTTTGACTGGAAGATAACGTAGATACCCTTCCGGTTGCTAATCTTTATGAAAGGCCCTAAATTTGAATTTCCCTTGAAGCTAAGATTTCTCAGTAAAAGAAGAAGAATAAAGAGGAAAATGATAAGGAAAAAAAGGAGGATAAGAGTGAAGAATGAGAACAAGAAAGAGGAGAAGAAGAAAAAGAGACATGAGGAGGAAAAGGAAAAGGAAAAGGAGAAGAATGAGAAGCAAGAGGAAAAGGGGAAGAAAAAGTACAAGGAGGAAGAGATGCAGAAGATGAAGGAAAAGGATAAATATAAAAGGAGGTGGAAGAAGAAGAATGAGGGAGGAGAAGGAGCAGGAGAGCAAAAAGGAAAGGAGAACGAGGAGAAGAAATAGGAAAATCGGCTGGAAAAAGAGGGAAGAGGAAAATTGACATGAAGGAGAGAGAAGGAGGAGAAGAATGATTAAGAAAGAGAAGGAGAAGAAACAGAAGGAAAAAAGAAGAGAAAGAGGAGCAAAGTAGGAGAGCACAGAGAGAAGGATAAAAAGGCAAATCGGCTGGAAAAAGAAGGGAGGAGAAAAAGTGACAAAAAGGAAAGAGGAGAAAGTGAAAGACGAGGAGGAGGAGAAGGAGAAGAATGAGGAAGAACAAGAACAAGAAGAATAAGGAAGAGTAGCAAGAGGAGAAGGAGAAGAAACACATAAGGAATGAGAGGGAGAAGGAGAAAGAGGAGGAGGATGAGAAGAAAGAGGAAATGGAAGGGAACAAGGAGTAAGAGATGCAGAAGAAGAACTAGAAGAGGAGGAAGAAGAAGAATGAGGGAAGAGAAGGAAAAGGAAAAGTATGAGAAGAAGGAGAAACAGGAAAATCAATGAAAAAAAGGAAGGAAGATGAGTAGGTTGAGGAAGAAGGAGTGGCAAGAGGAGGTGAGGGAGACGGAAGAAAAGCAAGAGGAAAAGAATGAGAAAAAGGAGAGAACAGAAGTCACTTGAAAGATCAAGACTCGTCAATTTGCTCGGAGGTGATGCCTCCTGATTGGAAGATAACGTAATAGCCCCTTCTAGTTGCTGAGCTTTATGAAAGGCCAAAAATTTGAACTCTCCTTACAGCTAGCATTCCCTAGGAGTAGGATGAGAAGAAGGATAAGGAGAAATTGGAGGAGGATTAGAGTGAAGGCGGATGAGCAAAAGAAAGAGAAGGAGAAGCAAGAGGAAAAACAAGTGAAGAAGGAGGAACATGGGGAAAAAAAGAAGAATGAGGGTGTAGGAGCAGGAGAATAGGGAGAGAATGAGAAAGAGAGAAATCGGCTGGAAAAAAAGACAGGAAGGAGAGAGAAAAAAGAGAAGGATGAGGAGGAGACTAAAGAAGAACAAGAAGAAGAAGGAGAAGGAGAAGGAGAAAAAGGATGAGAAGTGAGAGGAAAAGCAGGGGGAGGAGGAAGAGATGCAGAACATGAAGGAGGAAGGAGAAATAGAAGAGGAGGAAGAAGAAGAATGAGGGAGGGAGGTAAAGGAAAAAAAGAAGAAAAAGGAGAAAGAGAAAAAGCAACGGGAAAAAGAGATGAGAAAGAGAAAGATGAGGAGGGAAGATTGAAGGAGGAACAATGGCAAGAGGAAAAGAAGAGGGAGAAAGAGGAGAAGTAAGAGGAAAAGTAGGTGAAAAAGGAGGAGAAAAGAGAAGTCACTCGAAAGATCAAGACCAGTCAATTTGCCCAGAGGTGATGCCTCTTGATTGGGAGGTAACATAAATAGCCCCTTTTAGTTGTTGAGCTTTATGAAAGGCCATATATTTGAACTCCCCTTAAAGCTAATTTTTCCTAGGAGGAGAAGAAAATAAGGATAAAAAGTCGGAGGATAAGACTGAAGAAAGAGGGGGAGGAGGAGAAAGAAGAGGAAAAGTAAGGGAAGAAAGAGGAAGAGATGTAGAAGAGGAAGAAAAAGTAGAATGAGGGAAAAACAAAAGAGCACCGAGAAAAGGATAAAAATGCAAATCGGCAGGAAAAAGAAGGGAGGAGAAAAAGCAACAGGAGGAGAGAGGAGAAAGAGAAGGACGAGAAGGAGAAGAAGAAGGAGAAGGAGAAAAATGAGGAAGAACAAGAACAAGAAGAATAAGGAGGAGTAGCAAGAGGAGAAGGAGGAGAAACAACGAATGAGAGGGAGATGGAGAAAGAGGAGGATAAGAAGCAAGAGGAAATGCAGGAGAAAAAGGAGGGAGAGATGCAGAAGAACTAGAAGAGGAATAAGAAGAATGAGGGAGGAGAAGGAAAAGGATGAGAAGAAGAAGAAGGAGAAATAGGAAAATCAACAGGAAAAAGGAGGGAAGAGGAGTAGATTGAGGAAGGAGGAGTGACGAGGGGAGAAGGAGAGGGAGAAGGAAGAAAAACAGGAGAAAAAGGAGAGAAGAGAAGTCACTCGAAAGATCAAGACTCATCAATTTGCTCGGAGGTGATGCCTCCTGATTGGAAGATAACGTAATAGCCCCTTCTAGTTACTGAGCTTCATGAAATGCCAGAAATTTGAACTCCCCTTATAGCTAGCATTCCCTAGGAATAGGACAAGGAGAAGGATAAAGAGAAAATGGAGGAGGATAAGAGTGAAAGAGGATGAGAAGAAGAAAGGGATGGAGAAGCAAGAGGAAAGACAAATGAAGGAGGAAGAGATGTAGAAGACGAAGGAAAAGGAGAAATAAAAGAGGACGAAGAAGGGAAAAAAAGAAGAAGAATGAGGGTAGAGAAGGAGCAGCAGAATGGGGAGAGAAGGAGAAAGAGAGAAATCGGCTAGCAAAAAGGAGGAAAAAAAGAAGGATGAGGAGGAGACTGAAAAAGAACAAGAACAAGAAGTAGGAGTAGGAGTAGCAAGAGGAGGATGAGAAGTAAGAGAGAAAAAGAAGGGGGAGGATGAAGAGATATAGAAGATGGAGGAAGGAGAAATAGAGGAGGAGGAAGAAAAAGAAGAAGAATGAGGGAGGAAAAGGAAAAAGAGAGAAAAAGAAGAGAAAGAGGAAAAGCGACTAGAAAGAGAGACGAGAAAGAGAAGGATGAGGACGAGAAGATTGAAGGAGGAACAGTGGCAAGAGGAAAAGAAGAGGGAGAAAGAGAAGTAAGAGGAAAAGTGGATGAAGAACGAGGAGAGAAGAGAAGTCACTCGAAAGATCAAGACCCGTCAATATACTCGGAGGTGATGACTCTTGATTGGGAGGTAACGTAAATAGCCCCTTTTTAGTTACTGAGCTTTATGAAATGCCATAAATTTGAACTCCCCTTAAAGCTAACATTCCCTAGGAGGCGAAGAAAATAAGGATAAAAAGGAGGAGGATAAGACTGAAGAAAAATGGGGAGAAGGAGGAGAAAAAGAAGAGAAATGAGGAGGTGGTAGAGAAAGAAGAGGAAAACTAAGGGAAGAAGGAGGAAGAGATGTAGAAGATGAAGGAGAAGGAGAAATAGAAAAGGAGGAAGAAGAAGAAGAATGAGGGAAAAGCAAGAGAGCACGGAGAGAAGGATAAAAAGGCAAATCGGCTGGAAAAAGAAGGGAGGAGAAAGGGAAGGATGAGGAGGAGAAGGAGAAGAGTGAGGAAGAACAAGAACAAGAAGAATAAGGAGTAGCAAGAGGAGAGGGAGAAGAAAAATAAGGAATGAGAAGGAGATGGAGAAAGAGGAGGATGAGAAGCAAGAGGGAATGCATGGGAAAAAGGAGGAAGAGATGCAGAAGAAGGATGAGGGAGGAGAAGGAAAATGATGAGAACAAGAAGGAGAAACAGGAAAATCGACAGGAAAAAGAAGGGAAGAGGAGTAGATTGAGGAAGGAGGAGTGGCAAGAGGAGAAGGAGAGGGAGAGGGAGAAGGCAGAAAAGAAAGAGGAAAAGCAGGAGAAACAGGAGAGAAGAGAAGTCACTCGAAAGATCAAGACTCGTCAATTTGCTTGGAGGTGATGCCTTCTGATTGGAAGATAACGTAATAGCCCCTTCTAGTTGCTGAGCTTTATGAAAGGCCACAAATTTGAACTCCCCTTACACCTAGCATTCCCTACGAGGAGGAGAAGGATAAGGAGAAAATAGAGGAGGATAAGAGTGAAGGAGGATGAGTAGATGAAAGAGAAGGAGAAGCAAGAGGAAAAACAAGTGAAGGAGGAAAAGATGTAGAAGATGAAGGAAAAGGAGAAATAGAAGAGGAGGAAGAAGGGAAAAAAAAGACGAATGAGGGCTGAGAAGGAGCTGGAGAACGGGGAGAGAAGGAGAGAGAGAGAAATTGGCTGAAAAAGAGGAAAAAAACGACAGGAAAAGAAGAAAAAAAAGAAGGATGAGGGAGGAGACTGAAGAAGAGCAAGAACAAGAAGTAGGAGTAGCAAGTAGAGAGAAGGAGGATGAGAAGTGAGAGAGGAAAAGTAGGGGGAGAAGGATGAAGAGATGCAGAAGATGGAGGAAGGAGAAATAGAAGAGGAGGAAGAAGAAGAAGAAGAATGAGGGAGGAAAAGGAAAAAGAGGAGAAAAAGAGGAGAAAAAGGAGAAAGAGGAAAAGCGACTAGAAAGAGAGACGAGAAAGAAAAGGATGAGGAGAAGATTGAAGAAGGAGGAACAGTGGCAAGAGGAAAAGAAGAGGGAGAAAGAGGAAAAGTAGGTGAATAATGAGAAGGAGAGAAGAGAAGTCACTCGAAAGATCAAGACCCGTCAATTTGCTCGGAGGTGATGCCTCTTGATTGGGAGGTAACGTAAATAGCCCTTTTAGTTGCTAAGCTTTATGAAAGGCCATATATTTGAACTCCCCTTAAAGCTAACATTCCCTAGGAAGAGAAGAAAATAAGGAGAAAAAGGAGGAGGATAAGACTAAAGAAAGAGGGAAGGGGAAGGGGGGAGGGGGAGGGGGAGGAGGGAGGAGGAGGAGAAAGAAGAAGAAAAGCAAGGGAAGAAGGAGGAAGAGATGTAGAAGCTGAAGGAGAAGGAGAAATAGAAAATGAGGAAGCAGAAGAAGAAAAAGAAGAATGAGGGAAAACAGGAGAGCAGGGAGAGAAGGATAAAAAGGCAAATCGGCTAGAAAAAGAAGGGAGGAGAAAAAGTAACAGGAAGGAGAGAGGAGAAAGAGAAGGATGAGGAGAAGGAGAAGAATGAGGAAGAACAAGAACAAGAAGAATAAGGAGTAGTAAGAGGAGAAGGAGAAGAAACATAAGGAATGAGAGGGAGAGGGAGATGGAGAAAGAGGAGGATGAGAAGCAAGAGGATATGCAGGGGAAAAAGGAGGAAGAGAGGCAGAAGAAGAACTAGAAGAGGAGGAAGAAGACGAATGAGGGAGGAGAAGGAAAAGGATGAGAAGAAGGAGCAAGAGGAAAATCGATTGAAAAAGAAGGGAAGAGGAATAGATTGAGGAAGGAGGATTGGCAAGAGGAGAAGGAGAGGGAGAAGGAAGAAAAGCAAGAGGAAAAGTTAGAGAGAAGAGAAGTCACTCGAAAGATCAAGACTCGTCAATTTGCTCAGAGGTGATGCCTCCTGATTGGAAGATAACGTAATAGCCCCTTCTAGTTGCTGAGCTTTATGAAAGGCCACAAATTTGAACTCCCCTTACAGCTAGCATTCCCTAGGAGTAGGAGGAGAAGGATAAGGAGAAAATTGAGGAGGATAAGAGTGAAAGAGGATGAGCAGAAGTGTTGGAGTTATAGCAGCCTAGGTTTTTTGAGTTGTGTTGGATTACTGATTTTGGAGTACTGATTTTGCTGGGTTCGTTGGTTTATTGGGCTGTCTCGCTGATGGAGTTGGTTTATTGGGCTGTCGGTGGTTTATGTTGGTTGGTGGTTTATATGGTGTAGTTGGTTTAGGTGGTTTTTGGCTGTCGGTGGTCTGGTGGCAGGCTGATTTGGTGTTGTTTGTGGGTTGCTGCTGATGTTGGCTAGGCTGTCGGTGGGTTGGGTTCTGGGTGGTTTGATTCTTGGTTTAGTTTAGGTGGTTTGTGGCTGTCGGTGATCTGGTGGCAAGCTGATTTAGTGTTGTTTGTGGGTTGCTGCTGATGTTGGCTAGGCTGTCGCTGGGTTGGGTTCTGGGTAGTTTGATTCTTGGTTTATCGCTGGTGGTTTGTCGGTGGAACTAGTTGTTTGTGGAAGCTGTGTTGGTGGAGGATGTCTGTGGGCAGTGGGTTTGTCACTGGGTGCTTGCCGGTGGAGACTGGTTTGGTGTTACTTGTTGATGGCCGGGTGGTTTCGTCGTGTTGCTTGTTTGGCGGAGGCTAGGGTTAGACTTAGAGTTAGGGTTGGTGGCTTTGATGTGAGTGAAAGGGATACAAACTAAGTGTAGAGCCCCCATATATATAGCCAATAAAAGTCACAATAAGGATAAAAAGGTAAAAAAAGAAAAAATTCTAATAAACCCTAATAACCAAGGCTTCTATAACTCCAACAAGAAGAAAGAGAATGAGAAGTAAGAGGAAAAACAAATGAAGGAGGAAGAAATGTAGAAGATGAAGGAAAAGGAGAAATAGAAGAGGAGGAAGAAGAGAAAAAAAAGAAGAATGAAGGCGGAGAAGGAGCAGGAGAACGGGGAGAGAAGGAGAAAGAGAGAAATCGGCTGGAAAAAAGGAGGAAAAAAAAGAAGGATAAGGAGGAGGAGGAGACTGAAGAAGAACAAGAACAAGAAGGAGTAGCAAGAGAAGGAGGAGGAGGATGATAAGTGAGAGGAAAAGCCGGGGAGGAGGAGGAAGAGATGCAGAAGATGAAGGAGAAGGAGGAAGGAGGAAGGAGAAATAGAAGAGGAGGAAGAAGAACGAGGGAGAAAAGGAGGAGAAGAAGGAGAAAGAGAAAAATCGACAGAAAAAATGAGGGAGGTGAGAAAGCGACAAGGAGAGACGAGAAAGAGAAGGATGAGGAAAGGGAGAAGGAGAGGAAAAGCATGTGAAGGAGGAGAGAAGAAAAATCGCTCGAAAGATCAACACCCATCAATTTGCTCAGAGGTGATAGTCCCTTCTAGTTGACCGCAGATAACTTAATAGCCCCTACTAGTTGCTGACTATATGAAAGGCCACAAATTTGAACTCCCCTTAAAGTTAACATTCCTTGGGAGGAGGAGAAGGATAAGGAGGAGAAAAATGAAGAAGAATAGGAACTAGAACAAGGAGGAGGAGACGTAGCAAGAGGAGAAGGAGAAAAAGGAGGATGAGAAGTGAGAGGAAAAGCCGAGGAAGGAGGAAGAGATGCAGAAGATGAAGGAGAAAGGAGAAATAAAAGAGGAAAAGATACAAAAGATAGAGGAAGGAGAAATAGAAGAGGAGGAAAAGATGCAGAAGATGAAGGAGAAGGAAAAATAGAAGAGGAGGAAGAATAAAAAGAAT